ATCCATCCATCCAGGACTCCATTCATCAAAGTGAGCAGGGGACAGAAAGAGACTTGACTTTGACTTTGATCTGTTTTGCTGAGCAATTGAAGGCTTCAGCACACACACACACACACACACACACACACACACAAGCAAACACACACATACACATACAAAATGGTGATCCAGCTCTAAAGAGAACATTAGTTCAAGTTGCTCTCAGAAGCTCGAGGGTTGCGGGTTGAATTCCCCCATCGGCATATAGGCCTCTGAGTGAACTCCAAAGCATTGAAATGTGTGGCACTTTGTTCATTAAAAAGATAAAACAAACAGAGGCTGCTGTTTGATCTCTCATCTCTCTCCGCGTCTGTCTCCGCATCTCTCACTCCCTCTCTCCCTGAAGCAACCACAAGCCTCTCTAACCCTCAGTGTGTCTGCATATTCACAAGCAAGGATGATTGACAGGTACTGAAAAGAAAGACAAGCCAGGTGGACCAAAACACAAACACATGCAATATATATTAGCAGTATACTGTGCTGTATCCACGTATACAGCACATACTGGTACATAATGTGGCTTAAAGGGAAATTCTACCAGTTTTACACATTAAGGTCAGTTTACCTCAACAAGATTCACTAGTCAACCTGTGAAGGCTTTTCAATAGTTTGAAAAATACCAGTTATTATTCATTACCATTTAATCTACTGATTTATTCCACAACTAAACAAATATTTGTCTAAATAAAACAGCAGAAAATAATGAAAATGGACAGCAACAAATCCTTGCATTTAAGAATCTAAATCTAGTGAATGGTTGGCATTTTTCCTTGAAAAATTACTTAACAATAAATAAGTTATCAAAGTGGTTGCAGATTTTTCTGTGGAATTACTAATTGAACAAGAAAAGTGCACTCTTTAGAGTGCAGATGTACATTAGGCATGCGAGTGGGGAGCAGGGAGTGCAAGGCAGACTGTGTCAAGTGTGTATGCATGACAATAGTTTGATAGATAGATTAATAGAATAGTGTTATGGTATTGTAAGCAAGCATCCTCAATTCATCTAACTAAATAAATTCAAGGTTTCTAAATACAACATTCAGATCATTAATGTAGCAGCACACAACTTGTTGCTTTTTAAAGCTTCATACTCCCTTTGTTTGTGTTGTCAGCTTCTCTGTTCTTTGCTGTGGTAGCGAGGCCGCCCAAACATGCATGTTAGCACGTGTGTCACTGTGTGTGTAACCCACGGGCTCTCTGCAGCTCTGCACTGAAATCAACTCCCCCCAACTTAACAGTAAGCTCTGTCAGCACTGTTGCCATAATAAGCACTGTTGGCACCATTAGTGCTGCTAGAAGCCGGAGATGTATCGTGCCTTATTCTAGTGGTTAATAACACATCAGGAGTAAGTTAATCTGCAGATGCTCTGATACAAATTGACACCAAACTTTTTTTTTTTTTTTTTTTTTTTAAATGTGAATCACTGCAACCAGGAGAGGTCCTGTACAAACATAATATTAGGCTGATGGGTCCAGTAGCACTCAAGAGTTGCTGTGTTAAGACAGAAAGACACTTGGCAGCGATAATAATCAAATAATCTTTTCAGCTCTAGGTGTCATCAGATACTATTGAAATGGGGAACCTTGGTAGCCAAGTGGCATACCTCATTAGCACAATGTGGCAGGTTCCATACCCTCTGGGGACCGTTCTTGCATATGATGTCAGTAGAGTGTAGCTATACAATAAACTAAGAAGTGAATGACTCCTGAGACAACAGAGGAAACAGAGTAAGAGTTAAGAAGCGACGGAACATATTGACGATGACAGTAAACAATTGGGAAGATTCAAACACACATGAATGCATGCATTATTCTGACCCATGAGCACTGTATAATATGCTGTGAGACTCTTCTACCTCTAGCTATGGTTATATCTCAGCAAACACTTACTATGCATAAATGAGAGATTTGTTAGGGTCAGAGCCAATTTCACATGCGCCTAAGGCATTGTTACAAATGTATATCTTACACAAGCACACGCACACAGACACACACATTCTTGTACTTCTAACTATGTGAAGATCCTCATTGACATAATGTGTTCCCTAGCCCCTTAACCTACCCTTAACCATCACAACTGAATGCCTAACCCCAATCCTTACTTAATCCCAACCTAAACCTAATGGTAATCTGAACCCTACAACCAAATCTGAACCCTGAAAACAGGCCACACACACACACACACACACACACACATGCACAGGTATCTCATCTTCCATTTCAGCTTCAATTTATCCACTGGTTTTTTTAGAACGAAGTGCTAAAGTTGAAAAGATACAGAGATTACAGATTAGACAGACAGACAGACAGATAGACGGACAGACAGATTCTTGACTCTTTCTTCATTTGCCCACTTCTACCTTCTAATTCCCCCCTCTCTGTCTCTCCTCCCCCCACTTTCCCCCTCTTTCCTCTCCTCCTGCTGCTTTCTAGCTGAGTTCAGCAGTCAGCCGCATCCCAGAGGGACATATCGAGGTTAGAAGTGTAGATCTAACAGCCAGCTGACGGGAGGAAAAGAGAAAGCAGACTAGGGAAAAGAGAGAGAGCAGATCAGCAGCAAAGTCTCAAGGGGTAGGGAGGTTAAAGGTGGGTTTCTGACAGAGAAAGCCCATATGAAGATGACAAGCTACCATATTCCCTCCTTAGAATATTAGTGGGGAGATAAGAGGTGATGAGAAAAGAGGAGTGGGGGAAAAAGTGGGTGAGCCTGAAACATGTAAAGACTTATTAACAAGAAGAAGAGCCATCATACAGTGGTCAGACCTAAAGCCTCGCTAGCTTGATTCCCATAGCCGAGCCTGGCACAACCTGGTTTCATTGACAAGTGAGCCTGCCTTGTTTCCGCTACGGTGCAACCACAGCTGGTCTAATTTCCACTGCAAACTCACAGAGAACCAATTAAAACTATCAGGTTCCCACTAAAGGGCCAGATAAAGTCAGATGTAGCCAAAACACTAATGTAGTTTCCACTAGATTTCTATATCCACTACAAGGCCAAGCTAAGGTACAAGCTAAGCCTGCTGCTTTGACCTGGATGTAGCCTGATTTCCTTGACTACTGTGACTCAAACTTTGCTAAGCAGCATGAGAGCCTGGTTTCTACTCTCAGGAAAGAGAGGCTAGTCTGTCCTCCATTAGAGCAAATCTCAGTTGGAAAGAGTTTAATCCCAAGAGGAACAAACTTTTATAACAAGCAGCTGCAGCACAGCAGAATTATTAAAGGAGTAGGTTAACATTTAGGGGAATACACTAAAGTCTCTCTCTATCTGTACACTAAATAGAGCCAGGGGGAATTTAGTCTCATACAATAACAATTTTACAAGACAAACACTCGCCAAACAAGGGTTTTACCTGATAATGTTAACAAAAGAAATAGACAACAGAATCTCAGGTGGTCAGTATTTTCTGAAAAAGTTGTACACCCAAAGTTTGTCATTTCTGCTGTTTCTGAATCAAAACAATGACAAACGATGGACTCTGATAATGTCATGAAGTAACATCTAACTTGACTCAGGCAAAAATCATGTTCAACAGGTTTAATTCAAGTTATGTTCATTCCTGTTATGTCATATTATTGTAATAAAATAGTAGCAAGTCAGTCATGGTAACTTGCTAACTTAGCATTAACATCTGATGAGCTGACTATACAGCTACCATAGCTCACGTTATGTGGCAAATTCAGTTGTGGGAAAGCCCAGTGCTATTTTTTGTCATCAAAAAAATTACACTAAAAATAACTTTATGACAAAGTTAAATTAATGTTACGTTTTAATACTGCCATAACGATGGCTTGGTGGTTGGTCTGGTCTTCATCTTTTTCTACTACTACTTCTTCTTCTTCTTGTCTTCAGTGGTGGGTGGGAACTAGTGTTGACGGTGCACTAGCACCCAACTCACCCAGTGTATGCTTGGTTAGATCATACTGAACATTTATTATATTTTTATTGAGAAAACTTATATTGAGATACTTATTGGTATCTTTGTAGTGCACAGCCCTACTTAGCATACAGACATAAGAGTTGTATCAATCTTCTCATCTTACTATATAATGACGAAAACTCTGTGTGTGTGTGTGTGTGTGTGTGTGTGTGTGTGTGTGTGTGTGTGTGTGTCTGTTCCACGTTTTTCTCCTCACTGACTTGGTCAATCCATGTGAAATTTGGCACAGTGGTAGAGGGTCATGGGAGGATGTGAATGAAGCAATATTACATCAATTGGCCAAAGGGGGGCGCTATAGCAACCGAATGAAATTGCAAACTTTGAATGGGCATATCTCATGCCCCGTATGTCGTAGAGACATGAAACTTTGCACAGAGATGCCTCTCCTCATGAGGAACAAAGAACTCATAACTTCCGGTTATATAGATTTTCCACCATTTTGAATTTTTTGAAAAACACTTCAAATCGATCTCTTCCTAGGAAGTTTGACTGATCAGCATGAAACTCGATGAACATAATCTAGGGACCAATATCTAAAGTTCCCTCTTGGCAAAAGTTGGAAAACTTACTAAAACTGAGCTTCTATAAGGCAATGAATATTGCAGAGGGCGTGGCTCATCACATAAAGGTGTATAACATCTCAAGGGTTTCACCAATCACCACGCAACTTTGTCTAGGCCTAACCGCCATATCGATTTTTACTAAACTGACTGGAGAAATTCAACTCTAATTGGCAATTGGGTGGCGCTATAACAACAGAAAAATGCTTAAAAAATTGCTAAAATGTGACAGATCGCTGTGGCTCCCCCTGTGGTTGAATGCTGTTGTTTTTTTCTAATTTTTCGTATGACTAAGTCATGGTATGGTATGCTGTACTCAGTGGGTATGGACTAGTCTTAATTTAAGCTAGAAAGCAAATTGGTGTCAAAACGTCTTAACTACTCCTTTAAGCAAATTAGTAAAAAAAATCACACACACACACACACACACACACACACATATGCATGCACAAAAGTACCTTACCTTCAGGGATGTAAAAGTGGATGACACTCTTCAGGATTCACATGTTACCACGGCTACAACATCATGGTTGTGGGTAAAGGTCCAGAATCTTCTTTCTGATTTTACTCACTATAGAAAAACAGAGGAACAAAAAAGGTATTCAATATTGGACTCAGAAAGTAATAATTCAACAACAAAAAAAAACCTTTTGACCAAGTGAATGATTTTCTGTCTCCACACCACAACCTGTTACATTTATAGTGTATTTACAGTGACTATACTTTTTTTTCTCTTTAACTTGGCCTACAGCACAGTAAAGGTGTAAAGAGTTCTCCAGCACTGACTGTGTTTCTAAGCAGCTTAATTATTAATAAACTGCTTGGTTAGCCTTTAACTGAGAATAAAAGCGCTGCAACTGTGCACCATTGAACCAAGTGGAGGTGTGCTAAGTTGAGAGCACATGTCCTATAGACTGATTGCCCCCCACACAGGCCTCACATGCTGTTGCTACCGGATATCAATGACTTGAACAACCCTTCCCATTGATCCAAAGATATCCCTCTTCCTTCCTTCCTCCCTTTCTCCCCCTTTCCCTTCCCCCTGTTTCTGTTCATCCTCCCACCCATCTCCTCTTTTATCCCGTTTTCCTTATTGGATTTTCTCCTCTCCTCCCCTTTCCACGCCTCATGTCTTCCTTCTATCCCTCCCTCTCTCTCATTTTTTTCCAGCTTTTCTCCTTCAAAGGATAGAGGACACAGCTGAAACAAAGGCTGCTTCTATACCAGCTGAGCCAGCAGGATGGAGGGAGAGTGAGGCAGGGTGGGAGTGAAGGAGGGAAGGATCAAAATGAGGCAAGGAGGAAAAGAATGAGGGCAAAGAGTAAGGTGGAAGGGAGGGTGAGTAGGACGGGGTGCAAAGAGAATGAAGTGGGAACACGGGAATGGCAACAGCGCAGAGAGGGGGGGTGGGGGTGCTGAAAAGGGGAATAAATGTGAAAGTGAACAAGAGAAAGACGGAAGGAGATAAAGATAGATGCAGAGGAGAGTTAGAGATTGCTCTCGCATCAATAGCATGGTGGTGTCTGGTTTCAACAGAATCTCACACACACACACACACACACACACACACACACACACACAAACACACGAAGAGTTATCACAGTCAGCCAATAAAGAAACCTGCCTAGAGCAGCACAAACACATGCACTCCATTTTATCACGTGCAAAATATCTACCTTTCCTATATTTGCCCATAGGATTACTAACACAGGTTTGACTACCTGAACACTATTCATCATAGTGATCTCAACTGACATGAATGTATAACTACAGTGGCATAAAGTTATTTACAACCTTCAAACTATTGGTCTTATCAGCCACACTGGACTTGAAAATACTGGATAGACAGATAGATAGATGGGCCCAGCAGATGGATAGATGGTATGAAGTGAATGATGGATAAGGTCTGTGATTTATGAATTCCCCACTCCCAGTATGACCTTGGCAAAACAGAAAAGCCATCACTAAAATTACACTGTATTAAATAAATAATAGAGCCTCTTTGTCAGCAAATCTGCAAAGAGCAGCACAAGTGATTGACTGGTGTTAATATGCAGGACCACACCCTGTACTGCTGCATGCAAGGCCATGAGCTTCAGCTGAGTGCTCATGCATGTACCTGACGGGCATTATATACTATTTGTATATTCAGCAACTTAACTTCGCTAGTTGGTCTCTTGTTTACAGGCTTTGCTGCCAAACAACACACATTACTGAATGATTGATTTTAATGAATTCATTATCCTCCTCCAAATATTTGTTTATTTATGAACTCCTTCAGGATTTTAAATGACGTTCCACCCCGACTATGACCCTGAAAGACACACGACCACAAATTGGACGGCGTTCCATCAATTTGCCTGCACAGCAGAAACCAGTCCAAGGCCATTATGTAACTCCACACCATACTTTGTTTCGATGGCTATTTACAGACACAAACAGACAAATAAAAGTCATCTACCTAATCTCACATATCACTGCTTGAAATATACTATTTGAATTCCTATCTTCGTCACCATCAAACTCCTGTTTCATTTATCTGACAATGTTAGCAGCAGCAGCGGCATTAAACTTTGATGGAATTCATACCAGCACAAAGCATTAAAGTTGCACCAGAAAACATCATTACATAAACTGAGGGTCAATGGTTAGTTTCTTGCAGATTCCCAGTGGGCAAAGACAACTGGTGCAGTCTAATGAGCCTGCGTCCCCAGGGTGAGACTACATAAACTCAGTTTAGGTCTGGACTTTGCAAGAGCGCATGTATCCTTTAATGAGCCTGGGTACCTGGGGTGACATGCCACAGCAGCTTCACTCAACATGGGTTCCTGAGGATGATGAAAGCCTTTTAAAGAATCCCCACGTGAAACAAGAATCACAATCGTGTCCACGGAAAAACGTCTCCTAAAAATAATTACTTTCAATTATTCAATATCTTATGTAACTCCAAAGTAGGAACAGATATAACTGGGCTGCACAGCCGCGGGACGTCTGCTGAATTACAGCTTGTTTATTCTTTGTTTCAGAGTTCACAGCATAGACAGTATTTGGAGACTCAACATCATACATTTATGTTTTGTGCTGTCACACTGAGGAGGTATGTACCAACCACATTTTACGACATTACATCATTTACAGGGTTGTAAAGATTTGACAGTGTGACACAAGTTGCATGGTGGCACATATTTACCAAATGGGAACATATTTCAAATTCAATAGACCTTTTTCTGTTTTAGTAGCCTATAAAGTATGACAGTGATCTGTGAGTAAAGGAACACACAGTGTATGTGAGTGAATAAAATAATATTACAAAGAAATTACTTTTGAAGTGTTTGAAGTCAAGACACTCAGAGGACTTTTCACTGGGCTCTGGTCAGCTAGCATTATTGCCAAGCTGTGATGAACTGCTGTGGTCCTACTGTGATGGTAGCAGGGGGTACCATGGCCATCCTGTGATCCCTTTAGCTGTGTCCTCGGCAGATAAATTCTGTGCCTTTTCCAGATCTCCGTCTGCACCCTCTCCCTACACTCCCTTTCTATATTCCACCACAATGAGTGCCATCCCAAGCCAATTCATGGGGAGTGGAGGTGTCTTACCCTCAGTTTCCACATACTCCTTCAGCGGTGCGCAGCAAATACGCTCCCACTCTAGTGAATAGCTGCATTTCCACAACGAGCGGCGGGCAGTGTCTCTGGAGCGTCCGAGAAGCAACACGCCGCTCTGCTTCGTCGAAGATACGCGCCAGGTCTATTTTTTAGCGGCTACACTTCCATTTCATGTCAAGCCACGTAGCTCAGATCGCACCAAACTGGGAACGGAACGCACACAGCATCTGGTAAATTTCAAAATACAACACAATGCACGGACTACAGATTGTAAACTCTCAATTTTTTGTGATGTGAACAGTAAGGCGATCCCAAGTTGAACTTGTTTTCTCTCTTTCTCCTTCTGAATGAACTATTGTTTTGGTCTGGCCAACACTTTATCAATTGCTTTTTATCACGTGATCTCGCAGTTCCCACGTGAGCTTGCAGCTCCGCTATACTGCGCACCGCTCCAGAAACGCATCCAGTAGGCGAGGGTACATGTCTCGGTCACTCCAGATCGTCGCTGTGCTGTGCGCCGCTGACAGAGCATGTGTGTGGTTATAAAACCCTCCAACAGTAAGTCTATATCGATGCTAACTGACCACGTGCAATGCCATACTGTGTTCATCAAGGAACACGCTCTGTACAAATGTACATGTACAAGTATTGTCATACAGATTTTAATGCCTTAAAGTAGGGCTGACCCAAAAAATTCGGAGCTTCGAAGCTTTGTTCGATGGCATGGGATTCGATTGTGGAAAAAAAAAAAATTGAAGCTTCAGTGCTTTTTTTTCCCCATTTTTTTGGGGGAGGCCTTAAACGCAACACTAACCCCCACCAGTCCGATACTGACAATGAGCACACTCAGAGCTGGCAGACATGTCCAAGAGGTCATCAGATGTGTGGTTGCACTTTAAAATATGCCCCAACAACCCCCAGAAAGCAGAGTGCCAAAAGCAATTGGCATATCACAACTCAACGACAAATTTGGGAAATCACTTGAAAAACATAAGTAGTAACTAGTAGGCCTAATATGCATTTTCCAGTTCTACCGGTCCGCTCTGAGTCTGGTGTCAGAGACACTTCTGATGCTTTGAGTTGCGCATCTGTTTGATTGTGCTGCAGTATGCGCCGAGGGTTTTAATTGGGTGTTCAATCAAAAGTTAAACACTACTTATCACTGACCATTAGTGGTTTTTTGTTTGTGAATATTTTTATTTTAATTCTAGTGTTGAAAGAAACTACATTTTTGCCATATATATATTTTTTTTTAAGAGCTTCATTAATGGCAGTGTTCTGCAATATACACAGATATGGACACATTCTGCATATTTGGTCAGTGGATCAATTATAAACAGGGACAAACAGAAAAAGCCTTCAAAGGCCTTCCAACAACTTCAAACAACTTCACACACACAAGCTACATTTCATGTATTTAACAAATGTTAAAACAATAAGCCAACATATATATATAGATAGCTGTCTTCTCTCCAATACAATGGAACTTGATGGCACTCGGCTTGTGGTGGTCTAAGCACCAAATTTGAAAAACTGAACAGCAATGTCTCTTTAAAAAAGCATGACCTGGTTACTTAAGATAATCCACAGTCCTTGGTGTGAGCAGTTTCATGGATCCATTTTCTTTCTACAGAACTACACCCAACATCACTGCACAGAAGGAAGAGTGCATCTACTCATAGACAAGAGGCTCGTACTGATAACAGCAAGAAATGTAATTATTAATGATGTTGTTCTTGGCTGAATTGTAATGTTAGCTATCTCAGTGGTGCTAGGTGAGTGAGCAATTGATACATACACAATTGACAACATCCCTCCTCCCAGTAAGACAGCAACCAAGCTGACCCCCAGTATGTAGACTGAGTGGGATTAGTAACTCTAGTGCAATTACTGCATTTCAACTAGTAATCTCTAATGCCTTGCAGCCCAACACTGCTAATTATTCCTGTAAAATGAAGTTGTGGG